GAAAAGCTGAAATGTCTTGAGTCAATAAGTATTCAACCCCTTTGTTATGGTAAGCCTAAATAAGTTCTGAGGTAAAAATGTGCTTAACAAGTCACATAATAAATTGCATGGACTCACTCTGTGTGCAATAATAGTCTTTAACATGATTTTTTAATGACTACCTCATCTCTGTACCCCACACATACAATTATATTTAAGGTCCCTCAGTCGAGCAGTGAATTTCAAACACAGATTCAACCACAAAGACCAAGGAGGATTTCCGATGCCTCGCAAAGAAGGGCACCTATTGGTAGATGGCTAAAAATAGACAAAGCAGACATTGAATATCCCTTTGTGCATGGTGAAGTTATTAATTACGCTTTGGATGGTGTATCAATACAACCAGTCACTACAAAGATACAAGCATCCTTCCTAACTCAGTTGCCAGAGAGGAAGGAAACCGCTCAGGGATTTCACCATGGTGACTTTAAAACAGTTACAGAGTTTAATGGCTGTGATAGGAGAAAACTGAGGATGGATCAACAACATTGTAGTTACTCCACAATACTAACCTAATTGACAGAGTGAAAAGAAGGAAGCCTGTACAGAATACAAAATTTGTGCAACAAGGCACTAAAGTAATACTGCAAAGAATGTGGCAAAGCAATCAACTTTATGTCCTGAATACAAAGAAGTGTTATGTTTGGGGCTAGTCCAATACAACACATTACTGAGTACCACTCTCCATATTTTCAAGCATAATGGTGGCTGCATCATGTCATGGGTATGCTTTAATCGTTAAGGACTGGGGAGTTTTTCAGGATGAAAAATAAACGGAATGGCAAAATCCTAGCGGAAAACCTGGTTCAGTCTGCTTTCCACCAGACACTGGGAGATGGATTCACCTTTCAGCAGGACAATAACCTAAAACACAAGGCCATATCTACACTGGAGTTGCTTTCCAAGAAGACGTGAATGTTCCTGAGTGACCGAGTTACAGTTTTGACTTAAATCTACTTTAAAATCTATTGCAAGACCTGAAAATGATTGTCTCGCAATGATTATCAACCAGTTTGACAGAGCTTGAAGAATTTTGAAAATAAAAATTGGCAAATGTTGCACAATCCAGGTGTGGAAAGCTCTTAGAGACTTACCCAGAAAGACTCACAACTGTAATCGCTGGCAAAGGTGATTCTAACATGTATTGACTCAGGGGTGTGAATACTTATGTAAATTCAGGGGTGTGAGTACTTATGTAAATCTGTATTTCATTTTCAATAAATTAGCAAAAATGTCTATATAAATTTTTTCACTTGAAATTATGGTGTATTGTGTGTAGATGGGTGAGAAAATTCAGGCTGTAACACAACAAAATGTGGAATAAGTCGAGGGGTATCAAATCAAAACAAACGTTATTGGCCGCATACACATATTTAGAAGATGTTATTGCGGGTGTAGCAAAATGCTGGTTTTCCTAGCTCCAGCAGTGCAGTAATATCTAACAATTTACAACAATACACACAGATCTAAAAGTATCCATACCATAGCAGCTGCTATGGATTTGCCTTTTACTTGAGAGCTCTGCCCTCTATGCCAGGTCTCCCTTGAAAAAACGATGTTATTGTTAACCTGGTAAAATAAACTAAAGGTTGTGTGCACTCTCACTAGATAGAATTGTGTGGTTCAGTGGCAGATTTTCAAAAGAAAATACACATATTGGCCAGGTTGCAGTTGTAAATGAGAACTTGTTCTCAACTGGCTTACCTGGTTAAATAAAGGTGAAAAAAAAAATATATATATATATACATCAGTAATTCTCAATCAGATTAGATACACAGCTAATTTCAATCATAAATGTAGGCACTAATTATTGTAAATATTACAATTCTTTAGGTCCTCCATTCCCAAACCTGTAGCCCCCTGTCTCCAGCAGGAAATACCAGGAAAAAGTGTTGACTTAAGGTACAACTTCCTTTTGAGGAAATGTAAGATAACTCAAGGTCATATTTAGATTTAGAGTTACTGACATGAATAGAAGCATATACAGGCAATCAATCAAATGTATTTTATAAAGCCCCTTTTACATCAGCAGTTGTCACAAAGTGCTTATACAGATACCCAGTTTAAAACCCCAAAAAGCAAGCAATGCAGATGTCGAAGCACAGTGGCTAGGAAAAACTCCCTAGAAAGGCAGGAACCTAGGAAGAAACCTAGAGAGGAGCCAGGCTCCGAGGGGTGGCCAGTCCTCTTCTGGCTGTGCCGGTGTAGATTAAAACGTTTAAACGTTCATAGTTGACCAGCAGGGTCGAATAATAATTATAGTGGTTATACAGGGTGCAATAGTTCAGCACCTCAGGAGTAAATGCCAGTTAGCTTTTCAAAGCCGAGCATTAGCAGGTCCGGTAGAGAGAGACAGGTTCAAACAGCAGTTCTGGGTCAAGGTTCCATAGCCGCAGATAGAAACAGCAGAGACTGGATCAGCAGCACAACCAGGTGGACTGGGGACAGGGACAGCTAGGAGTCGTCAGGCCAGGTAGTCCTGAGGCCTGGTCCTAGGGCTCAGGTCCTGCATCTTTTATTTAACTTGAGTGTACACTAAGCCCTAGAGGTTTTGTAACTTCACATGATATAGCCTACTTTTCAATCCAGATCTGAATGTTTGATATCCTTTTTACTGTATGCTGTTCATAGTAATGTTTTCCAAAGCTAATCACTGAATGTCCTACCACAAGGATGTGGTCAGGTTGACACACTTCTGAGTCACAATAACCATTGGCGATTTTAGCATGTAAATCTTTTTTGGGGAGAAATATTGTGGGATGCATGCCAGCAAAGCTACTACACAACACAACACTAAACAATACATTAATTGCACTATAACGGTGACAAACGGTGCCCACAAACTGTTAGTGCCTATATAAAGCTGTCCCAACAGCAGAGTCCCAACAGCAGTCCCAACATCTTACCAGTGCTACACTTGGCTATCAGCGGAGCCTTGTCTGGCAGCGAAACAGTTCATTCAGCCCCATTTACTGCCTTTAAAAAAACATATGGCTGACTTGCTTAAACAAATGTGTTTTCTACTGACAATTGAGATGTACAAACTATGGCATAAGGGGACGACAAGTGGATAAGAGGCAATCTGTAATTTCGATTAAGACATTAATGAGCGAGCTAGGACGGATGTAGTCAATATAACTATTTGTTTAGCACTTTTGAAATGTACAGCGACAGAATTCAGAACATGGGCCATTCTTACTGTGTTCTCCCTGAACACCAAGTCAGAACCGTAGGATAAATAAAGGGGGCATATAAGCAGACAATGAAAGCTCTTACAATATTCGATGATGACATTTCTCTAAAACAGGTTATAGGCTACATGTGCACCACCAAGTCAGAACAGTAGGCAAAATTAAGAGGGGAAAATACACCAAATTATTAGGGTGAGGCACATGGGCTACTAACAGCTTACTCCACAACATACACTTAGTATTAATTTCTTAGCTACAGTATACATATCTCCCTGGCATATTACATAATTTATGCAGCAGCATACAAGACATTTTTGGATTCACCTTGTTGTGCTGTGCTCACTTGAACAGGAAGGTGGTGCGGCGGTCCTTCGTGGGCAAATTTTGTCATCAAAGTCTGGCATTCTCTGGATTTATGGGGCTTTCAAGACAACTGGGAAATCTGAAAAAAACAAGGTCGAATCATGATGACGTCAGTGAGCTTCAGGTCGTAGCTCTAGAAAGAGGCCAGAGTTCCGGATTAACAATTCCGAGTTGGATGACCGTTCAAAACGTATTTTCCCAGTCGGAGCTCGTTTTTTCCCCGAGTTCCCAGTTGTCTTGAACTCACTGAAGTCAGATTGCACAGTTCCGAGTTAACAGTTGTTTTGAGCACGGCACAAATCATGCTTCATTGACAGCATAGCCAATGTTGAATGTTTATAATTTTTAACTTGGAAAAGTGACCTTTAATCCCAGATTTGGGACCACACAGCCACTCCACTGAATAGCAGGCTTGTGATTGCTTTGCAATGCTTGCAGTTAGCCACTGATTATTTCCAAACCACTCATTGTTGAATTTGTGATTTCCAACTTGTTGTGTAATGTTTATGTCCAATGGCCGATGAGCACTGATACGTTTTATCTATAATTTCTCTTCATTATTTCTCTTCATATGACAAGGATTAAAAAGGATTTGCCAGTAGATTGTCGACTTGATTCATGATCTGCTGCTAGCTAAGATTTTGAAAGTATGATGTTGGCTTGATCAGTCCAATCAAAACTACTGTAGATTAAACGTGATTTGATGTCATTTTAGCTTCTTGGATGGGCACTTCTAATGTAACTATGGCAGCACCCAAGGGGCTTGAATTTTCTATCTCTACCCTTAGACTTGGTGGTGACGGAGTGTCCCCATGAGTGAGAGAACACTGAACCAATCACGGCGCAACTAGAGAACATTACCAACCCCTACGCTCCATATTCTCTGCTGAATGCCCCACCACAAAAAGCACTGATCTAGGCTGAAACACCTGCATTTTGGAGCTGCCTTACTCAAGAAAGCAAAAAAGAGACTATGTTTTTATGCCGCTTTATTAACTCAATGTTTTTTTTAAACATTGTTTGCAAATTGATATGTGACACGTATTAATGCCAAAATAACATGCAAAACAGGCAAGCCAAAAATATATTTATTTTATTTGTATTTATTTTTTAGCTAAAAATGTGGGGCTCAAAACAGGTGAGGCTCTGCCCCACCTGCCCTGAATGACGGGTCGCCACTGACAATAACACCGAGACACACACACCACAGATTGCCAGGGCAAGTACAATGAGCAGTTGGGAAAATGAAGCTGTGTGCTTGCCTGATATACAAACAAACACACACTTAATTTAGGTTAGTGTGTAGACAAGCCTTTGTCATTAAAATAATATTGTGCATATCTTTTAGATCTGCCACCCAGGCTAGATGGGTGACAGGTAACTGTGTCTCTACCGAGCTGTTCCAGGCCTGGAGTGGCACGCTGGAGCTTCCAGAGGCTTGTGGACCTGAAGCAGTGTGACGTGGCCCAGGTAATAATCACACACACGTAAACACACACGCACTCACTCAATCAATCACTCATTGTTTTGTCGTATAATTATTGTCGTATAAAATTGTGACTCTCTCTTTTAGATCTTACACCCCTATTCGCTCAACTACAACCCTCACAGCTGCAGTCGTCTGCCCCTGCACCTGCTACACAGAGTCACATTAACAGAAATCCCATGCAGCCTTGTTTATACATTTGAACACTGGAATGTGAGATGTAATCTACACCTCCATTAAATTGATAGAAATCCTCATTTCGTTTAATGATTTTCCATTTGAGCATCATTATTTCTATATAGCCTACACTCTCTCATTCTGAACTTCTAACGCAAGTGGGACGATGTGGCTTGGTGACAATGATCACAAGAGTAGCTGCTCACCGGTTTGACAGCTCCAACACAGTTACACTCTGACACCGCCAAAACATCAGCTATGTGGGTGTCAGCTATCGCCTGTTAAGACTTGATCGGATTGAATCTTCCACTCATTCACTCTGTTTAGTTATATGATTATTGTCAGTTAATACAATTGTGCCTCTCTCTTTTAGATCTGCCACCCCCAGCAGTTCAGCTGCAGTCACAGCAGTCCTCTGCTGTGATATTTAATTTACCGGCTGCACCAGTTCCTGCTACACTGGCCGTGAAGGGAGACACTTTTGAGGATTCCCAGATGGATACAGATAATTCAGAATGATATTACATACACATACGCTCACTCACTCACACCATACTTACTGTATACTTACTGTCTCTTTGTGCATCTCTCTTTCAGATCTGCCTTGCACTCAACCACTGCCCCTGACAGCCTCAGGTGACTGAAAAATAAAACACAACATTCACACACACTCTGTCTCTCTCGCTCTCTCGCACTCTCGCTTTCTCCGTCAATGTAAATAAACATGTAATTACTTGTTTATTTTATGTATGCTCCATTTTATTTGAGGATTGTGTGCAATAAAGTACATTCACAACATCTTTGGTTTATTGGATATTTCTCTGATTAAAATGTTTGACCAAAAGGAAGTCGGCAGACCTGCAACCCTCTGAGCGTGTGTTCGTGTTGTGTGAAACAGGGCCCCAACAGCCCTCACATATGTACAGGGTTCCCAGGAGTGGCAGGCAGATATGTTTATTGTCCAGCAAAAATATTTGTTATGTACCAAGGCCATTCCCTGTCTACCCATCCACATTGCTCTGGCCAAACTGAGCTTTCTTCTCCACAATGAATGTATGTAGCGATCGATAGAGCAGAAGAATTACATTCAGGGTGAGTCATCAGGCAACCAAGGCCAATGAATGGAGAGAGAGAGAGATGATCTGGAGGGAGTTCCAGACCTCCGCTTTTTATGAAGCAGAAAAGCAGAGTGGTGGCTGACAAGGAAAAATAAAACAACATGCACACACATACTGTCCTTCTATTTCTCTCTCACACACTTTTTAAAATATTTGTAATGACTTGTTTATTTTATGTATGCTTTGATGATTGGAGATATCTAGGCCTACAACTCTCTAGAGTGCAGTTAACAAATATAATCTTTAATAACTGACAACATTCTATAATGAATACATATTAGAATAATAATCCATAATAGAGTGACCAATATTTACTGTATTGTGATTGTTAAGAGTTTTAATTAGTCAACAAGTAGTGCCCCAATGGTGGGATAGAACCATGTCTCAAAAGCAGAAGAAAAGGTCAAATTAGTTCACCAAAATGTCCGTTATGGCTATACACGTCTGGCTCCGCTGGGCTACCTGCCAATACCTGCCCTCATACCCTCATGCCATAGTCACAATTCCTTAGAAATCCAGTCCTTGTTTCACAGAACCTAATCTTACATGTCATCAACCGTAGTTGTCATTCTTGGGAGACAACATGTTTACTGTTGCCTTTTTGTCTTTGGTTTCATTTTAGCTTCTCTGTGAAAACAGCTCTGTTTGATCTAGATCCAATTCCTCAGAACTCCGGTCGTCACTTCCTCAGATCAGTGTCAATGTTTCTGTGAGTGAACAGTAAACACATCGCCACTATTTCCAGTCCAACAGGTTTAGGACCACCACTACAACACTACACTTACTACCCGGGGAATATTGTTCATTGGTAATAAAAACAATATTCAATGTCTTGAAAAATAGAACTGGAAGGCATTGATGATACAGAGTCAAGAACAATGTGTCGAACATATTTATTTAGTAGATAAACATCTCTAAGAAAGAATGCATTGGAATAATAACACCAAGGCTACTTAACACCGTACACAACACCATTAGTTACGATGCTGGGCTTCAAAACATGAATAGAAAAGACAAGAGATGGAGGTTGAGGTGAGGAGGAGGGGTTTCGGGGGGCAGACTTCTTTATGGGTTTCTCTTTATGGTCATTGTCGTCTGAATCGGAGGAGGAGGAAGAAGAAGAGGAGGAATCTTTCTTTGGTTTATCCTCCTCAGTTGGTGCCTGCTTCAGGTGTTGGTGTCACAGCCTTAGCTGCATTTGTAGAGGCCTCCTCTGTCTTCGTAGGGAGGCTCTATTGAGTTGCAGGGTCTTCCTTCTTTGTGGGGGCCTCTTGGGTTGGAGGGAGACCTTTCTGAGTCGCCAGGGGCTTCTGTCTTTTTGGGGACCTCCTTTCCATCAACCTCATCCTTCTTCAAGGCCTTCTTAGTTGGCTGGGGCGACTGATGTGGAGTCAGGAAAGAGGAAGAAGATCTCAGTCTAAAGGTTCTGTAGGATATTTTTCAGTTGAGGAATTGAAGTAGCCTTGTGGAACCGTCCTGATTGCTACGCTCACCACTCTGTTTCTGTTTAAAACAGAATGTGAGCTATTGCGCGATCAGGACGGTTCCACCAGACTATAATTGAAGAAGACATATAATTTGAATTGGAAATGTATAGTATATTGGCCATGTTCAAATCAAATTGCACATCCTACTTGATTCATATGTTTGCATGAATTGAATGGGAATAGACACCACCTCTGCAACACATCAACATAACATTGGGATCAAATGAATCAATGTCTTACAATCGTACAAGGAACCACTCACAATCACAATACCATCGGATCCATCTACAACATGTTAATAACATTGTCTTTGACTCCATGCAGTTATACAGTGACATAGGTAGGTAGCACAGACAGAGTGATATTAGCCATAACTGAGAATGAACAGCAATCTGGAGTGGTGTGAGTGTTAGAGTGCACTGTGATTGATTGGTATGTGACAGAGACATGTTAGATTGACAGTGATACAACGGTATGTTGGATTCCCTGGTGTTTTCTCCCCATACATCAGATCAAATGGTTTAGTAAGGCTGGTATCCAGTACTTACCACAATTCAGTGCCTGCTCTAAAGAAAACTCCACGCTGTTGGGGAAGAGGATCAGGTACACCACTTAACTGGCAACTTGAAATGTAATACCAGGTTTACTGCAAATGTGTTGCCGCTACAGACCCTATATAATCTAAATATTGTATGATCCTATGTATAGGTACCTCATTATAAGCCATGGGCTAACTGGGAATACTAGCTATGACAAACCACATCAAGTCATGAGTACTGAGCCCCCATTCCTTCTGGGTTTGTGCGTCGTTAGCTCACCTGTCGTCGGGGGTAGGGGCGATGCCTTGCATTAGGCGGCGGTAGTTCTCGATCTCAGCCTCCAGCTTCATCTTGACGTGGAGTAGCTCCTGGTAGTCATCCACATGCCTCTCCACCTGCGTCCTCACCTGGCCCAGCTCTCCCTCCAACTGCAGCAGGATCTTATTGAGACGGGTCATCTCACGGTTGTACCGCCCAGCCGTGTCATTCAGAGATTCCTCCAGGGAGCGGACCTGTGACGGACAAGGAAAGAGACCAATCAATTAGTGAGCAGATCTGATGGACAGGCACAGGGACCAATCACATCCATTTGAACTCACTATTTTTTTTTGTATTTCCTGAATTGAAAGACACCCAGCAAGGCATTGTGAAATGCTATCGGATGTTGGACTGTTTTGTATTAGTTGTTGTTGATAGATCAAGCTCCCATCAGTTCCAGGTGATGACCGTGTTGGTGATAGGTAATGAAGTTCTGTCTGGTTCATAATGACAGAGTTCAATGTAATAACCAGGTTGGCTGGAATGTGTGTAGACAACACAGCTACGTTACATCCCCATATAGAGGTGATGCATGCTCTGTAGGTTAGGGGAAGTGTGTGGGTGTAGTAGACCCCTGTTTAGCATGGTCAGCTTTACCTTGACCCAGTTTACGTTGACCTACATTCTTAGATAAAAAGGTGCTATTTAGGGTTATTCGGCTGTCCCCATAGGAGAACCCTTTGAAGAACCCTTTTCGGTTGGAGGTAGAACCCTTTTGGTTCCATGTAGAACAATTTTGGTTCCATGTAGGATCCTTTCTATAGAGGGTTCTACATGGAACCCAAAATGGTTCTACCTGGAACCAAAAATGGTTCTCCTATGGGGATAGCCGAACCCTTTTGGAACCCTTTTTTCTAAGCGTGTAGTACAGTACAGGCGGTGTATGGGGTTACCTATGTTGTGCATTGTCTGGCGTGTGTGATGTCACTGGTCAGGTGAGTGTTTTACTTTACCATCATTTACATGGGCTACAATGTGATGACATACCAAAACCAACACAGGGGGACAGAATGGAGTCTTTTTAGCCAGAAATTCCTGTCAAGAAAAGGCTTGTAGTCTTGGAAAAGGGCTTCCAGCCAAAGCGTTGACAATAGTTTCTATTATATCATATCCTCTATGTAGTTCTATAGTCCGGCCCCGGGGAAAGGGTTTTACTGCGGAATGCTGAAAGGTATTTACCATGAGGCTCTGTGCAGTGTTTGTTTTCTACACTGTGATGTGTGTGTGTGTGTGTGTGTGTGTGTGTGTGTGTGTGTGTGTGTGTGTGTGTGTGTGTGTGTGTGTGTGTGTGTGTGTGTGTGTGTGTGTGTGTGTGCGCGCTACGGTGCAGGTAGGTATGTTTTACCATGCTTAGTGTTGCCTGTATGTCTATCTCCAGGAGCTGTCTCTGTCTGCGCAGGTCTTTGAGCTCATTCTTGCCTGAATGCAGAGCCTCAGTGTTCTGAACCACTTCTACCTTGATGCTGTCAAACTGTCAGAGAGAGAGAGAGAGAGAGAGAGAGAGAGAGAGAGAGAGAGAGAGAGAGAGAGAGAGAGAGAGAGAGAGAGGGAGAGAGAGAGAGAGAGAGAGAGAGATTAATTAAGGAATGAACAAACAAGTGAAGGAATGAGATAATTAATGAACAATCAAGTGAAGGAATTAGATAATCATTGATAGTGAAGTAAAGCTCCATACCTTGCTCTGGTACCAGTCGTCGGTATCCTTGAGGTTCTTCTTGGCCAGTTTCTCGTACTGGGAGCGGATCTTGTTGATGGTATCACTCAGGTTATTGTCCTGGGAGTCAAACTCCACGAGGACGTTGGAGTCCTTGATCTTCTTACGCAGCTCATCAACCTCCTGCATGCAGCAGGGGAGAATACAGTAGTTATTATGGGCTATTTCAAGTAAAAGCTGATCTAGGATCAAAAATATATATATATTATACAGCTGCACCATCGAGAGCATCCTGACCAGTTGCATCACCGCCTGGTATGGCAACTGGTCGGCATCCGACCGTAAGGCGCTACAATGCGTACGGCCCAATACATCACTGGGGCCAAGCTTCCTGCCATCCAGGACCTATATACTAGGCAGTGTAAGAGGAAGGCCCAAAAAATTGTCAAAGGCTCCAGTCACCCAAGTCATAGACTGTTCTCTCTGCTACCGCACGGCAAGAGGTACCGGAGCGCCAAGTCTAGGTCCAAAAGGCTCCTTAACAGCTTCTACCCCCAAGCTATAAGACTGCTGAACAATTAATAACATGGCCACCCGGACTATTTACATTGACCCCCCCCCCCCCCCCCCACACACACACACACACACTTTACCCCTACCTAGATGTACAAATTACCTGGAATAACCTGTACCCCCGCACATTCACTGGGTACTAGTACTCCCTGTATATAGCCTCGTTATTGTTATGTCATTTTATTATGTTATTTTTTTAACATTTTTTATATATTTTCTTAACTCTATTTCTTGAACTGCATTGATGGTTAAGGGCTTGTAAGTAAGCATTTCACGGTAAGGTCTACACCTGTTGTATTCGGCGCATGTGACAAATAACATTTGATTTGATCTCTCCCATTCCCAGCTATAACCCTAACCATTATGAGGTAAATCTCAAAACTGTTCTGGGAACAGTGGGTGAATGAGTGTGTGTCCTTACGTCCTTATGGTCCTTCTTGAGGAAGGCCAGCTCTTCCTTCACAGAGTCGACCTGGCTCTCCAGCTGCATGCGGTTCAGGTTGGTGTCGTCAATCATCTTCTTCAGACCAATCAGGTCCTGCTCCACACTCTTCCTGGCCTGCTTCTCGTTGTCCAGCCTGCAGAGGAGAGGACAGGAGTTTGGGTCACAGTCTCTCTTAGCCCCATACAATGTAAAAAGACCCATTGGGTTTTAGCAAGGAGTGCTATATGTAAATGACAACCATTTTCATATATTTTTTTTATTATAATGACATAATAATAACATAATAATCCAATCCAATAATATGTATTTTATTTTGTGTATTTGTTTCCTATTTTTTATAATTCATTGTGGATACTACTAAGTGTGTTAAATAAATCTCCAGGTCTTTTTCTATAATAAATTGAAAGCATGTCATGTCTCACTTGTTTTTGAAGTCATCATTGGCCAGTTTGGTGTTGTCAATTTGCAGCAATAAATGCGCATTATCCATGGTCATATCACGGAGCTGAAACAGAGAGAACATGGGCCAGTTATTGAAAATTCACTAAACACACAAAATTATTCACAGACTGAGATCAGGTGACTATCAGGTGAATAAGCTCAGCTGACATAGACATACTGTACATTGATCGTTTAAAGGGCGAAATGCAGAATAAATCAGTCTAATTAATCATATTAAATAATTAACTGTGTGAAAAATCACCTTCTTCCTGAGGTCATTCAACGGTTTCTCAACCACATCCCAGTCGCGGCCGTTGGGGTCTCCCCTCTTGTCCAAGATGTCCTGAATCTGATCCTCCAGATCTTTGTTTGCTTCCTCCAGGTTCCTCACCTTGCCCAGGTAGCTTGACAGACGGTCGTTGAGACCCTTCATGGTCTTCTTATCATCCGCGGCGGGCCCTGGGGCAGGAGAGACCTCCTTCGAATTCTCCGGGTCGTAACGCATCACGTTCCGCAGCCCCTCCAGACTGGCCACGGAAACCCTGGAGCCTCTTCCTCCGGCCCCACCGAACATGCTAAAGGCGCTGTTCCTAGACATGGCAGTAGTTGGTTGAATGGGTGAGTTGGGAGAGAAATAGAGAGGCAGTGTAGAACCGATTGTCACCTGTACAGGTAGTGATTGAGAGATGTGAGGGACTGTTTTAATACCGCTGCTCAACACCTGAAACCGTCCCTAAAGATACGATTGGCTGAAGAACGTCCAGCACCCCCCCGGGCAAACAGGTTTAGAGTAAACATTCAAGTTTTTCTTCGTGACTTTGTTCTTTTTACTATGTAATTTAGAGTTCCACCTCAGCTGATTGGACAGAGGTGGATACCTGAGTGGTGAGGGTTGGTTCTTGCCCACCTTAAAAGCAGGTGAAAACCTGAGAAGATGTGCCTTTCCCTAAACTCTGAGTCTGATTCTTGAGACTCTCTCTCTCTGTCATTCTGACAAGAACACACTGACAAGATGCCCAAATCAGGAGGATACAGCAGCCAGTCCTCCGGTAACACGCCCAAAAGCTACTCGAACGACGCCACTAACAAGGACCTTCTCAAGCCCATGAACCCCCAGGTGGACCCCAAGGACCAGTCGGACAAGAGCCAGGAGAAGGACCAGCTGGTTGGACTCAACGACAAGTTTGTAGCGTTCATTGACAAGGTGTGTTATTTTATTATTATATTATTATTATTATTAATAATAATAATAATTGTATTGATGGATTGGATTTATTATTTTACCTGCAAAATCAATAGATTGATGCAATAGGTCTGTCTGAAGTCTGCTGGTAATAGAGAAACATCTGTATGGCACTCCTACATCATTATTTCAGCCACATGCTATTTGATTTGATGCTTAATTAATGCGTTTTCTTCCAATTCATTGTGTAATAATTCCATTAGATAGACCCAAAGCAAATCTTGACATAAAACAATTTTATATTTCTAATTGTCTACAGCCCTACCGTATTATACATTCTACTTAACTGTCATTATACTTCATTACCACCTTTACAGAATTAGAGGCCTACCTTCACTAAAATAAGAGCCTCTGTAATCATCCCAGCAGCGGAGTTTATGTAGCCAAAACATTCTACCCAGAGAGAGGTATTCTAGAGCTCTCATCACCATCACTCACACCTGTAAAGAAAACCTGTCAGACATATTATTTTCTCTCTTTCTCCGTCGCTCATATGGCGTTTTCAACTGCTGAGGTGCCACCTTGTGGCCAATAACAGAATACCATTTCAAAATTGAAAAGCGTTACATTATTTTTCATTTCTTTCAAATATTGCAAACTTTCCAAATCTATTTTCTTATATAGATTTTTGGACTTGGACTTTGTCAATATTGTATAATATTTTTGTTAGGTTACATTTGTGAGAGGGGTGGCCAAGTTGTTGTTAACATACCCTAAGTTCCGTGTAGCTCAGTTGGTAGCGCATGGCCATGCGCCAGGGTTGTGGGTTTGATTCCCACGGGGGACCAGTATTAAAATGTATGTACACACTACTCTAAGTTGCCATGGAGAAGAGCGTCTGCTAAATGACTCAAAATGTATCCCTCAGTGACATAAATGGATAGGAGTTGTTGCCTTCTATAACTCATTATAGTTTACTGACTGGTTTCAGATGCAACAACCTTGATTTACTTTCTGATCCAACTCTCTCTCTTTCTCTCTCTCTCTCTCTCTCTCTCGCTCTCCTTTAGGTGCAAAATCTGGAGCAGCAGAACACGGTCCTGGACACGCATCTGAAGATCCTGAAGGAGCAGGAGGACTACAAGGGCAACGTGGACGCTGTGGTCCAACAGCTGGCCAACGAGCTGCAGCAGCAGATCGAGAACCTGGCCCGGGACAAACAGAAACTGACGCAGGAGCTGGCACGCTGCCAGGACGAAGTGGACCAGACACGCAACAAGTCAGTGACTTCATTTTTACATTTTAGTCATTTACTTCACAGAGCCTTTCGTAGTTAGGTAATAATCCTAATAGAAGAATCGAATAGAACAGAATAGAATGGAATATAATACAAAATAATACAATGCAATAGAATAGAATGGCATTGAATTTAGTTTTATTTAATTGGACAACATGCACTCCAAAAGATAGATCTAAATCTTTCATGTATTTACCATTACAGAAACCCCTAACAAACCACCCAACACTTGATTCCTGTGAAGCAAGCCTATGGAGTAAACTAGGACCGAGACAACAGTAAAGTGTATAATATAAATCATAGTTTAGATATTGCACAGGTCACCAGGACTCCAGGAAATGCCATTGTACACAACAGGAACCTCATCAGTCTATAGTGACAAAGAGCATTTTCTCACGCTAGGCTACGGAGCATTTTTCCACCTGGGTCACCAGTTCTCAAGAGTCAGAGGTGCTAATTCTTCATCCTTACATAAGCCTCTGTCCACTGGGTTGAGTTAGGTACGTACAGGGGAGCTCTGGTGTGCCCTGCACTATGTCTGTTGGGAGAGGTACATGTACTGTAGTCAGTGTACACTCCCCAGCCACTCTACTCCACTCTACCCGCTAACCAGGGACCTCTGTGCTGCACAGTACCCAGAGACAGGGCTCTGAGAGAGGAGAGAATGTGGAACCCTTAGGGACCTGGGCTCTTACCCAGTCTGGATCCAACTCAACACAGGCACGATATGCTAGGGTGTCTGTCTGACATGAAGTGTGTGGGGGGGGGGGGACAAAGCAGCAGATGGTCTGACTGTAGGATGATGAGTTGACATGTCAGTGAAATGTTTTTTGTAGGAAAGAGGGGAAGAGGGGACTTGGAGATGTGTGTGGTGTGTCGTGCGGCCGCGGGTGTGTGTGTTTACCTGAGCTCCCATACCTTGGTGGCAGGTAGCCTAGAGGTTAAGAGCAGTGGGCCTGTAACCAAAGGGTTGCTAGTTTGAATCCCCAAGCTGACTAGGTGAAACATCTATCTGTGCCCTTGAGCAAGGCACTTCACGCTAATTATTCCTATAAGTCACTCTGGATAAGAGCATCTGCTAAATGACTAAAATATCAAAACAACAATTATCCGCTCTGTGGTCCTCCAGGTACCAGGATGAAGTCCAGGTGAAGGTGGATCTGGAGAATGACTTTGTGATCAACAAGAAGGAAATGGATGAGGGCCACCTGGCAGCAGTGAAACTGGCTCTGGAACTGGAGGACCTGATGGGAGAACTGGACTTCCTGAGGCGGGGCTATGACGAGGTAGGCTGACTGACACGCCAATCAGAGGCTAGGTGGAACCAGAACCATATATAGCTAACATGGCGTCCAGTGTTAAAGTTTGCCAAACTCTTTATACTACATGGAGCTATTGTAACTTACAATCTCAAATCTGCCAACTAGGGCAGAGGGAAGGAGGCAGTTGTCTGGAATGAGACGCAGCCCAGATCTCCTTCTCTAATGTAGTGTTGTTGTCCTGGCTGTGGTGAGACAGGAGCTGAAGGAGCTGGAGTCTCAGATCCAGAATGAGACATTGGTTGTGAAGGAGAGCAACAAGAGAGCTCTAGACATGGACGAGATCATCGACAGTGTCAAGAAACAGTACGCTGACATGGCCTCCCATGCCAGAGAGGAGGCAGAGCTGTGGAACCAGAAAAAGGTGATAATATTTTAGGTAATTTAGCAGACACTCTTATCCAGAGCAATAAGGGTTAAATGCCTTGCTCAAGGGCACGTTGACATATTTTTCACCTAGTCGGCTCAGGGATTAGAACCAACGACTTTTCATTTACTGGCCCATCGTTCTTAACCACTAGGCTACCTGCCATCCAGCGGCAGCGTTGGTATCTATTATCCTTCAAGAATAACTTTTGTTTCACAACTTCACCACAGTTACACACCAGAGCCACACACACACCTACATTATGTATCACAGTAAATGATGATGATGATGCAACAAGGGTGATGGCTATCCTAAATATATTCCCTGATTCCCCCTCTATCCCTTCTCCCCCTCTCTCTTTCTCCCTCCCTCTCCTCCCCATCTCCTCCTATCAGATGGATGACATAGTGCTGACAGCAGGGCAGTATGATCACGATGTACGTGATGTGAAGAAGGAGATTGCTGACATGCTCCGTCTCATCCAGAGACTGAAGGCAGAGCTGGAGGCCCTCAAGAGACAGGTGAGACGCTCTCTCTCACACACACAATCAGGCACACACACACAATCAGTCCATATCCTTCTCCACTTCCATTATCCCTCTAACCTCCCCCTCCCCCTCCCTCTCCCCCTTCCCTCTCCCCTCCCCCTTCCCCCTTCCCCTCCCCCCCTTCCCCCTCCCTCCCTCCCTCCCTCCCCTCCCTCTCCCCTTCCCCTCCCCCTCCCCCCTCCCCCCCTCCCTCTCCCCCTCCCCTCCCCCTCCCCCCTCCCCCTCCCTCTCCCCCCTCCCTCTCCCCCTCCCCCCCCCCTCTCCCCCTCTCCCTCTTCCCCCCTCCCCCCCCCTCTCCCCCTCCCCTCTCCCCCCCTCCCCCCCCTCTCCCCCCTCTCCCCCTCCCCCCTCTTCCCCTGTTCAGAAAATGGTTCTTGAGAAGGACATTGAGGATGCAGAGGTGGATGGGCAGAATGCGTTGGAGCAGGCCAGGGATAATATTGTTGAGCTGGAGGACGCTCTCCGCAGGGCCAAGCAGGACATGGCCCGTCAGGTCAGGGAGTACCAGGAACTGATGAACCTCAAACTGGCCCTGGACATCGAGATCGCCACCTACAGGAAACTACTGGAGGGAGAGGAGATGAGGTGAGTGGCACAGTGGAGCGGGGAGGCCGGGGAGAGAAGTGTGTGTGGTGGCGGGGGATGTAGGGGGGTTATGTGTGTATGGGTGGGGTCAGGGGTGTGTTTGTGTGTGTGTGTCTGTGTGTGTGTGTGTGTGTGTGTGTGTGAGAGAGAGAGAGATTGAAATCGAAAAATACTGTAGTATCCTGCCTATACTTAGCCTGTATTCTCTCTTGTCATTTCAGAATGAATAACCATATACGTCAGCAAGGTAAGAGCTCTTCTTATTCCCCCCCCCCAGTGATTCACTCTCTTCTTCATTAGTTTATTCAACCTTAGAACCTCTAGGTAGCATCTACATGATTCTTTCCCCTTCCGAGTAGTTCTTTCCCATCCTCAGTAAATGTGTAGGAGGGTGAGTAAGAAGGGAAAGATCTGATAGGAAGGAACTGTGATCTGTGTTTTGTCATGATCTGTGTGTGTCCTACTAAAATCCAATCATATCTCTTTTGCTCAGATTACTAAACAAACCAACCAATACCAGTCCTTGCTTGCACGCAGACATTGATTTTCCGTCGAAGCCCCTCCTGACTCTGAAGCCCCTCCCATTAGATACCGTTGCCCCCCCAACCATCCCCAGGAAGCGTGTGCTGATCAGAATTGAGGTGGAGGAGGGCAAGGTCGTGTCCAAGAGCTCGCACTACTCAGACGATTAACCAAGCCCACTGTCACTCTGCTGTCGCTATAGCAACATGGTGTTGTACTTCTCTCTATTTTCTATCTAAAAAACATTGCAGAGTCTTTTATTTTTTACGTTAAGGTCATTGTTCAATAAGCTAAGGTGTTAAAATTACAAACTTTGTTTACAACTGCAGTTTGGGAGACCATGACCAACAGTAACAGGCGCTCTTACAAAATGTGTCCTGGGCTCTTTTTCATTACGTTTGTGGTGGGAGAATTTCTCTGTGCTCTCTTGTGCTCGTGTGACTGGGAAGGCCATGTGCTCCAAAGCTTGAATGTCACTGAACCATGTCCAAAATAAAAGGGAATATATTATGGTACCAAATATGTGTATGGTTTGTTTAAGGAGTAGGTCTGTCTGTCACCCTATACAACTCAGCCCTGAACTCAAGGTATACATGGGCCTATTATCACCACACAGACAGAGATATACTTCCTAGAACCCCAGGACCACCACTGTCATCATTTAAGGACTTGCATACATTATCTCCTTTTGATGAAAACAAATGTCTAATTTGACAACGGTAATGTTAAACACAACTGTCTAGAGAGAGAGAGAGAGATAGAGAGAGAGGGAGAGAGGGGAGAGAGGAGAGAGGAGAGAGAGAGAGAGAGAGAGAGAGAGAGAGAGGAGGGGGGAGAGAGAGAGAAAAGAGAGAGAGGGAGAGAGAGAGAGGGGAGAGAGAGGAGAGAAGAGAGGAGAAGAGAGAGTAGAGAGAGAGCAAGAGAGAGGAGAGAGAGAGGAGAGAGAGCGAGAGAGAGAGAAAGCGAGAGCGAGAGGAGAGGAGCGAGAGAGCGAGAGAGAGAGAGGTTTGCTGGGAACACCAGCTGATGATGAGATGAGGACGAGATAGTGATATGATGGATAGCAGGATATCTGGGAGACTGCCCGGTCTCTTACCATATTTCACTCCATCACCCCTCCCTCTCGCTCTCTTTCTCGCACACACACTCAGACAAATGCTCATATGCAACACACACACTAACAAAAAGGCTTACACACACACACACACACACACAGTATTGTACATAAAAAATTCGGACCCCATGTTAATAATCTGTCACTCTCAACGTCATGTAAAAATTCAGACCTTTTATAGCTACACATCACTCTTACCCAGCCTTAACTCTCTCTCGCTCTCTAGTCTTTAGTTTGTGTGAGAAAATGATGTTTACATGTCAAATAGTTAAATAGTTCGTGTGAATAGTCACACTGAAGTTCTCTCTTGTTTCCCCCATATGCACTAGTTATAGTTTCAACAAAGAGATACAAAATGTATACTTGATTTTCTGAGTAGGCAATAAAGTAGCTTTATAAACTTTGCACATTAAACTGTGAATCTGACCAATCCTGTGTTTGAGGGCTATTATGATCAGTAGGTAAAACACAGTCAATCATTTTGCTTCAAGGAGTTTTTAGCACACTGTTGCAGCCTTACAAATACGCAGACAATGAACCATTCTTGGTTTCACTTCAAATTTGGAAAGATAATTTCAACTTTGGAAATATAATTGATCTTCCCAGATATGGTGTAGCCTAAAGAACTGAACACTAAAGGCTCTGTTCCCTGTCTCATTTCAAATGTGCTCTAAATGTTAGAATCTCAGAGCTCTAATCACTCCCCTGTGTTCCAGATGTTTTTTGGACTGCGGAGGAGCACAGAGCACACCCCTCTCTCCCCTGTTCAGAGCACATACCAACACCAGATAAAGACTAGGGAGGGAGAGAGATAGAGAGAGAGAGAGAGAGAGAGAGAGAGAGAGAGAGAGCGAGAGAGAGAGAGAGAGAGAGAGAGAGGGAGGGAGGAGAGGGAGGGAGGGAGGGAGGGAGGGAGGGAGAGAGAGAGGGAGGGAGGGAGGGAGTGGGAGGGAGGGGGAGAGAGAGAACGAGAGAGAGATGGAGTAGTCAGTTAGAGTCATCTTAATTCGACCCATCTGCTCTTTTATATCCAAATCAGCCCAGTTCATCATAATAGAGGCCTCTGTTGATAATTAATAACATTATGTTTATCTCTGATGGATTGAATCAACTTGATTAGAAAAATAAAAATATTGGTGACTTTTACAGTGATTGTTTGAATTTATTATGACTACCCAAATAGTGTACATATGTATAATGATGGCTTTAAACACAACGTGTTCAATGGCCACAATGTCAAGAGTCACACATGCTTTCAATAAGTGTTGCTGTGACTCTGAGTTGACAGACATGGGAAGCAAATTCTGGTTGCATGAGAGAGGTGGGGCAACCCTACCAGTCCTGCACATCGAATGGGGTCTTTCTACAACTGTTCCCTTACAACTAGGGTCCACAGACTCGGGGCCACCGCTGCACTCAAAGAGTAATCCAGGAGTAGAGTATGCTACATAATCCATATGCAATAATCCCCATTTATAATCCCACACGTCCATCCCCAAAGTGAGAGCAGTCCTGTCCTGGCTACTCAGAGAGCGATATCCTCAGAGTCCTGTCTCCTCCTCCGTCTCCATCTGTCTCTGAGTTTATGGAGGAGTTTCCTCACCGGGTCCGTATACTGCCTGTTGGCCAGCCCCAGGACCAGCGGCACCACTGCCATGCTCCCGATCCCCGTGCACGACAGCACGATGTGTGTGGTGGAGTTCCCGCGCGTCTCCTCGCTGAGCAGAAACGCCACGCACACGTGTATGTAGATGATGTAGGGCACCCAGCAGGCCAGGAAGGTCAGCGACACGGCGGCCACGCAGCGCGTGTAGCGGAGGTTGAGCCGCTGCTCCCGTTCCGAGGCCTGACCGCCCCCCCCGGTCGCCACGGAGCGGTGCAGGCGACAGATGTCCTTAATCTGGCCCCGGGTGATCCACAGCACACGTCCCGTCATGCCCGCGATGGACAGGATGGCAGGCGCCAGCAGCCCGTACACCTCGAGGTAGATGAAGGCGTTGGGGAAGACCCGTCTGTAAGAGCAGCACTCTGAGCCGACCGGCGCCGCTAACGCTGCCGCCATGGTCGAACAGTTCCCCGGCACATCCGGCGTGCCCGTGTCATTAAATGCACAGCAGCCGTTCCACCCCGGCCCGGCCCGGTTGTTCCAGCCGAAGGCGGGCAGGGAGGCGTAGAGCAGCGGAGGCGCCCACACGGCGAGCAGCGCCAGCGGGAAGTGGCGGTGAACCCAGAAGCTACTATAATGTAACGGACTCACGATGCACATGTACCTGTCATAATGAACTATCACCAGGTTAAACAGGAACGCCAGAAACAAGAAATTAGGAAAAATATGAACCAGGAGACAGGAGCTAAAACTCAGCGGGCGGTTGAGTCCCATCCAGGGGATGAACGGCAGGGCCACGCCCGTACACAGGTCAGCCACTAGCAGGCTCAGGAAGAAGTAGTTTGGGGTGTTGTAGAGCTGACGGTTACAAGAGATGCCCAGGATGATGACCAGGTTGGCCAGGATGATGGTGGTGGACAGGGGCACGGTGATGGCGTAGATGAGACGTGCCTCCGACAGCAGCGGCCGCACAGCAGAGTCATTGACCAGGTCATCCATGGTTGCGGTTGTGGTGGTTGTGTTCCTCCACAGTTGGCTTTAGTGTGCCAGACCTTCACCCCCACTGCTACGGAGACTTCCACAGCTCCCATTAAACTGCAGGAAGCCTGGGTGAAGACAGACAGACATAGAATAAAGTTAGACCAGAGATCATGGAGCATTATGTATTCAGAGCTCAAAACAAACTGCCTGTTAGTTGCTCTGGATAAGAGTGTTGGCTAAATGACCAACATGTAAATGTAAATGCAAACTACTCTCTCGTCTAGAGACCATATGATACGGTAAACCCAGTGTGTCAAACAAGAGCGGCTTGGACCCCTGAAATAGCCTCTCTCTCTAGCATCATGTATCAATGGTATTAATTGATCAACAAACCAGACAGAAAAGATACCCAGCAGTACATCAGGGTTTGAGGGTCGGTAATTGAATAACCCTAGTCTATTGGCTAAATGGCCTATTTAGGTAAAACACAGTGTCATCATGTTCTAACTGTCTCTCCACTTGTAAAAAGATGTAGATGTTATCTCTTTAAACACAATTACAACAGTCATCATGGCCGTAGGCTTGCTGTTTCCTCTCCATTGCCCCAGTGTGAGAGAGAGACATGTTTAAAAGACGACCGTCTTTGTTTTCTTCCTGCAGACTGCTGCGGTTCACGTAGATTGATGGCAAAGGAAATGTAATATCAAGCCTTTTGTCTGAATAGGCAGAAAGAGAGAGGGACAACGACAGGGGGGGGGGGGTCAGTCAACATCAGCGTTCAGAACGACGCAGATAGAATTGTAATGGATTAGGTTGACACAATGAATGCTCTATATTACTGTATGTCAATCATATTTGTTCTATGCTATACATTTCTATCTGAATGTTTTGATAGAAATGTAATGGATTCCCTATTCTCTATATGACAAGCAATTGCATATAATCTAAGCAATACATTCTATCTGAATGTGTTTGTTTTGTAAGGTTGCGCACTTCACTGTATAATTTGTTTTGCCATCTAGAACCTAAAAGGGTTATTTGACTGTCCCCATAGGAGAACCCTTTGAAGAACCCTTTTGGTTCCAAGTAGAACCCTTTTGAGTTCCATCTAGGACCCTTTCCACAGAAGGTTCTACATGGAACCCAAAAGGGTTCTACGTGGAACCAAAAAGGGTTCTCCTATGAGGACAGCCAAGAGTCCAAGAGTGTACTGAACAGACTCGATCAGGTCCGACTCTGTGGTTAGTTATTATACACCTTCTTTTATGCTGCTGTGATTTCTGGAGCCAGCTTGCTGAGGGTCCAGTATCTAGACTAGCATAACTAATGCAGGGTTGTGGAAAGTGACAGCACACTGGACAAAGCTAAGCGTTCCTAGACACATTTCTATGTGAGATACATCGTCTCACATACAGTAACACCCTCATGTACAGATGTAGGATCTTAACACCCTTTTGTCGCTGACAATT